TGGAGTGATCAGAGAAGGTGAAGCCTCTCTAGCACCTTTTACCCCAGTCAATGAGCATTTCCCAGGACGAAGCCAGTGTTTTGTGGGAGGAAAAATGCTATGCGGTGAAAAGGAGAGTCCTCTCCAGAAGTGAAAGAGAAAGCTGATTATGGTTTTCAGCAAGAAAAGAAAATGATTTTGCAAGCATGTAGGGAGCGGTTATAGGGTTAAGCCTCGGACTGACCTGTTTAAAGTTGCAAGCAAGTCCCAGCTTGAAGGGCACAGTCCTCCAAGCATAATTAAGCTTGATCTTGTGACTGCTCCCTAGATCTTTCCTGGGTAGCTTATGGGCTGTGGGAGGGGCAGCAAGTACTGCCAAAACTAGTGAAACTCACAAGAACATTGTAAGTTACCTTGTTTACCTCTGACTATAAAATAAACCATCAGCTTGCAGCCATGCCCAGAAGATCCACCTAGACCCAGCTTATTCTCTTTGTCTTTTTCTTCATCCTTCATCAGCCCTCCCTTAGGCTCACTGAACCCTTGGCTGTGCTGGTGAGGCCCACAAGCCCACTTTTGGCCCATGGAAACCTTTAAGAATGTCCTGCTCCTCAGTTCAATCATCTTTGATTCATTCATCCAAAAGGATTTATTGAGCCCAGCATCGCGCTGGGCCTAGAGGATGCAGCAGAGATCCCCAAACAGGAGTCTCCCGCCTCCTCTCTCAAGAGCGACAGATTAACAATTTAAACAGATAAAGAGACACATTAGAAGTTGTGAAAAAAGAACTAAGAGTTGTGAAAAAAGAACATTAGGTGTTGAATGTTGATGGGGTAGAGAATAGCAGGAAAGGAGAGCCCCTTGAGTACGTGGCCACAGAAGGCCCATTGCAGGACAGATCTGTATTCATTTGGAACGGCCATGAGAACAATTCTGTATACAGAAGGCTAATATAGATAAAATAAAACTTAAATTATACTCATCACACAGGACCAGGGGCCAGAGAAAGACAGATACTTTGGGAAATTCTGCTGACCTTGTTGAAGCAAAGGGGAGAGATGAACAAAAATAATACGTATTTATATGTACCATGTGACACGAATGGGTGCCAACTGGAAGTGGTCAAGTGGTTAGGGTGATGGGCCCTCGTGAATGCTGAGGAGTGCGGCAAGCAGTTACAAATTACCCACCTTCCTTTGGTCCAACACTGGATATCATCAACAGGTCCCTTTCCCTTTCCTCAAGGCAGGTCATTCACTGTGAATGAAGCAGAAAGCTGGCCCTCAGGGCCCGGTCACCGGTAAGTGACTTGGAGGGGCAGGACAGTGCTCCCAGAACGGAACTGGTTTTCAGGGGCTTAACACAGCTCTTTCCCAGTATCAAAGCCCACAGGCAGGGCTGTCAGGTTTGCAGGTCTCTCCTGTGTGAGATGCCCCTATGGTGGCGCCAATTTTCAGTCCCTAGACTCACAGAAACACATGGCTGTCTTACAGGGGGCTAACGTCCTCCTCCTTTTGGCCCTCCCTGCAGGGTAGGAGGCAGCCTGTGAGCAGAATGTGATCTGGAACTGTGGGTGTTAGGCACTTAACCCAATTTCCAGAGATTGGGAAGTACACACCTCTGTGTGAGGAGCAAAGCAGCCAAGCCAGTTTTGTTCAGTAGTCAGGTGAACAAGGGGGCAGGGTCTCAGGAACAAGGGGGAGGGCCCAGGTGACCAGTCCCAATTAGTCAAGTGAATGTGGACGAGGTTTAGAGCCAGAAGTGGTGACATAAATGAGGAGGTGTGGCCAGGTGAACAGTTGGAAGTGGTCAAGTGGTTAGGGTGGCGGGGCCATGTGAATGCCAAGGAGTGTGACAATAGGTCACAAATGCCCCACCTTCCTTTAGTCCAACTCTGGAGGGCAGCAACATGGTCACTTTCCTCAAGGCAGGGCTGTCTCTGTGAATGAAGGAGAAAAATGGCTCTCATGCTCCCTGCAGAATCACCAGTAAGTGATTCTGCAGAGAGCATGACAGTGCTCTAAGAATGGAACTGGTTTTCAGGGGCTTAACACAGCTCTTGCCCCAGTTTCAAAGCCCACCAGCAGGGCTGTCAGGTTCACAGGTCTTTCCAGTGTGAGATGCCCCCATTTGTGGGGCTGATGTTGGGTCCCTAGACTCACAGAAACACATGGCTGTCTTAAAGGTGGCTGACCTCCCACTTCATGTGGCCCTCCCCGATGGGTAATAGGCAGCCTGTGAGCAGAAGTTGATTTAGCTCTGTGGGTGTTAGGCACTTAACCCAACTTCCAGAGATTGGGAAGTCCATCCCTTTACATGAGGAGCAAAGCAGGCAGGCCAGTGTGGCACAATGATCGGGAGAACAATGGGGCAGGGTTTGGGAAAAGGGGGGATGGGCCCAGTTGACCAGCTGGAAGAGGTCATGTCAGCAAGGGGGAAGGGCCAGGTGACCAGCTGGAAGTGATAGGGCAGTGGCGCCACTCAAATGTTGAGGAGAGTCAGAAGAGGATGCAAAGGCCCGCCTTCCTGTGGTCTAGACTCTGGATGGCAGCAAGAAAGTCCCTGTCCTCCAAGAAGAGCAATCCCTGCGAATGAGGTGGGAACGGAGGAGCAGAATAAGACAAGAGAATGGGGAAGAGCAAAGCTGTCACTCAGTCCATGCAGGGACAGAAGGAGATAAGAGAGGCTCCAATCATCCCAGCTCTTTTGGGTGCTTGGCCATGAACCTGAGTCCTTAGGAACCCCATCTCCTTACAAAAAGACCCCCCTACTTACTTAAGGTGTCTAGAGATGGCTTCTCTTACTCGTGGGACTAAGAACATGAAGGTGCAGAGGAGCCCGTGAGAGGTCAGAGCACGTCAGGGTCCCTGAGAGAGAAAAGGGGGCACAGAACATGGGCATTTTGCCCAGAAGACGGTCACTGAGTGGACCCAAAGGACCTAGAAAGATTGGGACCCAATTCAAGGGTCACCACAGGGTGCTTAGATGTGGGGAGGGAGCTGGTGTGAAGAGCTTGTACTCCAAAAGCAGCCTGGGGATCCCTGTGACACCCAGCTCCAACGTGAAGCTTATATGTTTAAAATGTCTGAAAATAACACAAAGCAACCAGCAGAGGTGTGGGGAAAAATGAAAGGCAAAACAAAAAAATTAAATGGAGAAAATACTTCCCATACATGGCAGAGAATATTCTCAGTAGGGTAGCAAACTCTCTAAGCCACTCCTCAAGATAATACCCCCAGAGGAAAATAGGCAATGGAATAAAACAGAAATACAACTGGCTCCTAAGCTTGTAAAAAAGTCAACTTTTCATAGTAATGATAAAATAGGAGCAAATTTAAAACAAGAGCCCACATTTCTCTTAACAAACTGATGTGTTGTTGTTGTTGTTGTTGTTGTTGGCAAGATATTGCTTTCTATTGCAGAGTGTGGGAACCTAGCTTTCTCACACCATCTCAGAAAGCAATTTGAGAATATTTCAAACCATGTGCAATAAAAAGCAGCAGTGTCTCACCCAGTGTCCTGTGTTCTTCTCTCTTTAGTGCAAAAACCCCCTCCAATACCACACAGCATTTCCCTCCCTGGGGGCTCTCTGGCTCCCAGAGCCGCCATGCTGACTGGAAGTGCAGGAAATTAGCAACCACTTAGGAGCAGCCTATCACTGGCAAGGCAAGTGTTCAGATACCCAAGGGCCTTGCTTCCCCCCAGGATAAGTTGGGTGCATTTTGTGTGCTAGCTCCCAGCATCCACCAGGGGGATTCAGCTCAGTCACCCACAGGAGAGCCAGCTTCTTGGTGACCATCACACCCCATTCCACTGCCCAAGTACCTTCAATTCCTAAAGAAAATACTTGGCCTGAATCATCACTGCAGAGAAACCCAACTGAGACAACCATTGATTAGTTGTAAAGCTCTTTCCCACAGAAATAGTCAGGAATATGGGCTAAGACTAAGCTTTCTTTTTTTTTTTTTTTAATAAAAGTGGATCCACCCAGAAGTTGTGTATATATATGCAACAGAATAGTCCTTAGCCACTAAACACAAATGAAATGTTTCTATAAGACCTGGGAGAAAGTTTGTGATAGTGTGAAATGGAAAAAGAATGGTAAACAACACTGCCAATATAGGGCATAGCTGTGATCCTTTATTCGCACTTGCCAAAATAGCAACTTTGATTATTCTGAGGATCTCAGGAGATTTTTATTTTCTTGTGTGTATATGTGTACAACTCTGCATTTTTAAAATTTAAACATTCATAATCATACATTATTTTTGTAATTGGAACATGTAATTTAATAATAAATAAAAGCAACACCAATGAAAAGAAGAATATCTAAGAAATATAATTTATATAAATTTATTGACATGTTTTTAGTTGTAGGAAACATACATCAGAGAACAATATACTAGCCAGACATTACACTTTGGGCTTCTATCAAATTCGGGTCCATTTGACACAAGCAATGGTTGTCCTTTCAAACACATCACCCACCAGTTTCATTCATCACTCTTTTCCCCCAAAGAAAGAAATCATACTTTGTTCTCCAAGGGCTCTGTGTCATTCATTCATTCAAGTGCAAGGCACTAGGCTCTAAAGGAATAACTGTTTCCTTCTTTAAAGAAGCAAAGTGATATCTGTGAAGTATAGGAATAGGTTAGGACCTGCCATTATTACTGAAGGAATTGATCACAACAGTCTAGAAGCCAGATGATGTTAGAACTGTCATCTAAGGCAGGGACAGCAGTGGTTCCCAAACAGGCCCCATTTCTGAGTAAGAAGAGTAATGCAGAGTGAAGGAGGGACCTGTCCAGTCCTTTGAAAGGTAGCAAATAAAGTCCAGATTAAAGGTTTGAAGGGTACTGAAAACATTTTTCTTAACTACCGGTGTGACTAGCAATTAAATTATTTTTATTAAAAAAAAACACTCTGGGATGTCTAACTTACAGTAAAGTATGTCTTCAATGAGCATAACATGCATTTAACACCGACTACAAAATTGGATCACCTCATTTTTCACCCATTTCTCAGTGTGCCTTGGATTTGTTAGATTTTTTAACTCGCTTTTTCTTCCCAAAGCACTTCTGGCAGCCGAAGGCACAGCATTTATAGACAACAAAGGCAACTCCCAGCACAATGGCCAAGAGGAAGCCAATCACGTCCAAAGAATGGTACTGGTACCAGGTGAGGTCGTGGGCTGCGGGGCGCAGATGCGGGGCTCCCTTGTGCCTCATCACGAACTCCACCCAGAACACAGCCAGGTCCAGTGGTTCAATGGGGCGGTCCTTGTGGAGGCTGGAGAGGCGCATGATGTTTTCCTTATAGCTAAACACAAAGGCAGTCCTGTTAATGCCTAGAACATCAAAGGCAGTGAACTAACTTCCCTCTATACTTGCATGCTTGCTTCCAGTGAGAAATGCTACCTGGTTTTTCCAAACTTGGTAGAGAAAATGTATCTCTATTATAAATAGCAAAGACACACACACACACACACACACACACACACACACACACGCATGCACACACACACAATGTTCTCTTTTTGAAAGGAAGGAAGGAAGGAAGGAAGGAAGGAAGGAAGGAAGGAAGGAAGGAAGGAAGGAAGGAAGGAAGGAAGGAAGGAAGGAAAGAAAAAAGGGAGTGAGGAAGTGAGGGAGGGAGGGATGGAGGAAGGGAAAGGAAAAGGAAGAAGAGGGGAGGGAAAGGGAGGGGAGGGGAGGAAAGGGTACTAGAAGCCAAAATTATAATTTTAAATTGTTTGAAATCTGCATGTTACTTTTCTTTTCAGTGATATTTTTGTAAGAAATTAATTATATATTGTTTATAGTTAGATAAAGGAATAAAGAAATAAGGTTATATCAGAAATTATGAATGATTCCTCATTCAAATGTGTAAACAATCACATCTAGCCAAAGTAAAAGCCATTTTTAAGTGCCATCTGTCAGACTAATTTATCAAAATTTTGCATCAGGTTGTGTGTATGCAGCCTGTTAAAGCAAAATGGATTCCTGTGTATTTGGCACAGTGTTAATAGCTGAATCAGAACATCCAAATCCAAAATGGCCTAGAGATTTCAAAGCTCAGTATACATGCACCAGGAGAAGAAAGAGGAGGAGGAAGGGGAGCAAAAAGAAAAGGGAAGGGGAAAAAAAGGAAAGATAAAAAAACACTTCCATTCAGAAACAATTGCTGTCCTTAAACATGTCTGTCATTTTATTTGGATACTAGAGGCCTAGTGCACAAAATTCATGCACAGTGGGAGGCGGGGTCCCTCAGCCCAGCCTGCACTCTCTCTAATCTGGGACCCCTCGATGGATGTCCATTTAGGACATCCCTCTCACAATGCAGGACTGCTGGCTCCCATCCTGGCTGAATGCCTGATTGCCCCTAACTGCTTCTGCCTACTAGCCTAACTGCTCCCCTGCTGACCCGATTGCCCCAAACTGCCCTCCCCTGCAGGCCTGGTCGCCCCTAACTGCCCTCTCCTGCCAACCTGGTCACCTCCAATTGCCCTGGTCACCACTAACTGTCCTCCACTGCAAGCCTCATTGCCCCCAACTGCCCTCCCCTACAGGGCTGGTCACCCCTAACTTCCCTGCCTTGCCAGCCTGGTCCCCCCACCAAGTGCCTTCCCCTGAAGACCTGGTCCCACCAAACTTCCCTCCTCTGCAGGCCTGGTTGCCCCCAACTACCTTCCCTTGCAGGCCTGACCCCCCCCCCAACTGTCCTTTCTGCAGGCCTGGTCACCTCCAACTGCTCTCCTCTGCTGGCCCAGTCATCACTAACTGCCCTCCCCTACTGGCCATCCTGTGGTTGCTGTCTTGTTACCACATGGGGCAGCCATCTTATGTGTTGGAGTGATGGCCAATTTGCATATTAACTCTTTATTATATAGGATATTACTGTAATGTAATATTAATATTGTGCCACCAATGTGGTTAAACACCTTTCTTGTATATAAAATTTCTCTTAAGCAGGACAGATTTCCTTGAACTTTCATTAATTCCTTCAATATTTATTGAGCATCTGTTATGGCCTGGTTGCATAATCTGCTCTTTAAACATTTTCCAATTTTTTTTTTACATCATGTAAGTACCCTCTAAGCTTAAAGTGTTGGAAGTATGGAGATTCACAACCAGATACATGGCTCAACAATGAATAGATAAAGATTATAACTTAAGCTAATGGGTTAGAGTTTTGAAAAAATAATAATGTGCTAAGAAACTGCTACCAAGTCATTTTTAGGTTTCAAGTAACTATCTATACCGCTGAACAAAAGATCAAAATTATATCACTAGTGTGAACATAAAAAATAAATTTCATGAGCACGTGGAGAGAAGTTGGGTCTTAATTGTACTGATGTGTGAGTAGCACGGTGTGACCCTGACAAGCCAGGCTTCCAGAAGCAGCCAATTGGAATGAGGGATGCCAACCACACTGCTCTGGGTAGGTTGTGACCCAACTGGGCACTTTGCCCTGGGGTTCTGTGGGTGTTTCTTTTTTACCCACTGGCATTTCTCTCTCTCTCTCTCTCTCTCTCTCTCTCTCTCTCTCTCTCTCTCTCTCTCTCTCTTTCTCTCTTTCCTTCATGCGCGTGAGCACTATCATCTCCCGCCTTTATCCCTTGTCCAGGCTCAATGTGTGTGTCCTATCTGAACACTCCCCCAGGTTTCACATCTGCCCTCTTGCCTGATGTCTTTTCTGAAATGAAGCAATTACTGGAGAAAGCTCTTGACACTCTCATAAGCAGGCAAGCACACATACATGCATGCATTCACACGTGCAAAAATGTAGTTGCACACACATTATTAATTGTTGGATGAAATATACCTCTGGGCATCACTTGTTCTCATCAGGTTTTACTCAGCCTAATGCTAGGGAGCTTGACAGCCATACCATAAATTTTATATAGAGACCATTTGATCTGATGGCTTTTGCCTTTTGAATCATCTTTGAGCAAATGTGTCTTCATTTTTTATTATTTGCCTTTTAGTATAAGTGATTTCACATGAGCCCTCACTCATAAATCCCCATGGGCACAATTTCTCACAGATTTCAATGCTGAAAAAGCTGTACTTTGAAGCTCCTGGTTTGTTTTTATTTTATGGACACGATGCTTCCGATAATAGAATATTTCTCTCTTTACCAAGAACTTATAGATCAGGCATCTATTATGGTGACATTATTTTTAAATTAAGTCTTAAATTTATGAGGGAAAATAATATTTAAAATCATTCCCATGATTCTACAGGAATCAAGTATGCTTTTATAAAATGAATAACAATCTCAAATGACCTTACTTATAAATAGATTTTCATGATTTGTTTGAATAATTACCGTGAATGGAATGGGAAAAACACAAGCACTAGTCCTCTGTGCCTTCTCTCTTACCTCTTGTCATTGATGACAGTTTTGAGGGCATTTTCTAAGTCTGCAGAAGTCATTTCCAGGACGTTCAGGGACACTCCTGCTCCCCGGGACTCCATGCGCTTTGCATTGTCCATCTGATCGCCGAACAGGGGCAGCATCACCATCGGAATGCCATTGCATATTCCTTCATAGATACCATGGGAGCCAGAATGTGTGATAAAGGCACGAGTCTTCGGGTGACCTGGGAAGCAAAAAGGGCAGGATGCCAGGGTTCAAGTCTCTGAGTGTCACGTTCTGGCATCAATAGGTTGTGAACACACTCCACGCACTCAGTGCTATGCAGTGTCCCTTATAGAAGTTTTCGGAAGACAATGTGGCTGAGATGCCTGCTGGGTAAAAAACAGTGTGGAATATGGTGGCCTTAACACTTTCCAGCTAAAAAATCCTTTAGAAAGCCCGAGCCTAAGCCACTTTCTTAATTTAACCTTGGTTTGACCTACACATCAAATCCTCTCCACCTACCCAGCAGATCATTTTGGGGCAGCCACTTGACCAGGATTGTATTCTTGGCAAGATTCGATGGTCGAGTCCCAGTGTAGCGCCACAGCACCTTACAGACGAGAAGAGGGTTGAAAGACCAGAATATGATTTTTTATAAACACTGCTATAGTAGCTAAAAAGTAGAGTCTTCAGAAAGAGCCTAACCAGGGGGTAGGGGTGAGGCAGGTAGTGACTAAGAAGGCTCTGGGGGCTAGTAACATTTTGTGAATTTGTGAAAAATTATCACGCTATATATTTATGATTTTTGCACTTTTCTGTACATCCACTAAATGAGTGGATGTAGAACTATAATTATACACCATTGTCTTAACTAACAGCTTTTTGGATAAATATTCTTATTTAATAAATTCCTCTTTATTTTATACTTAAAATAGATTCTTCTGGAGTCTCTTAGAGAAAATGAGACATCCAAGCAAAGTGGACCATAGTTTAACAGTAGTTAAGAGTGCAATTGCAAAAAAAAAAAAAAAAAAAAGAAGAACAACAACTTGGGATTCACAATTGGGAAGTGGCAGAGGAAATCCAAGTCTAAAGTCCAACTCAGAGAATTAATTCAGAACTAGAGGCCTGGGGTCACAGCTGTTATGAAGATAGAAAAGATTAGCATCTCCTTACTGTCTGAGGTATTTTGCCCAAGGCATCAGCAATTTCCATGGCTTTCTTCTCTGGAATATCTGAGACCATTGAGCCCAAAGAGAAAACCACAATTCCATGTTCTCCGGAGGCATTTATATAGGATTCAAACTCCTGCATTCAAAAGAGAAATTCCCTGTTAATGTTTTCTAGTATTCTTTGGGTGACTGCATACATTAAAATGTGACTCAGATATCTTCAAGGTGAGAGAGAGGGGGGCGGGGAATTAGTGTGTGGTGCAGCACCTCTTCCTGCCTGGCTCCCTTTCAAAGGAGAGAGGCTCATCACAGGTTTCAGTGCCTCTTGGGTTCTTGGAGAGGTAGAACCCAAATAATGAGCTAATTCTCCAAAAAGAAAGCCACCAGAGACAGTACCCGATCGGGCTTTGGGCAGCTGGGAAGTTTGGGAGAGAGAGCAGGCTTTGGGGAAGGGAGCAGAAGGAGAGAGCAGGAATGAAGACAGGTGGCTAAGTGGGTATCATAGCAAGAGGAGAGAGCCTTTCAGCTGTGAACAGAAACACTGTGGGAGAAAAAAGCTACTCAAAAAGGATCCAGAAAGCTTTTATTGACTCTAAAACTTCTTCACTTCCCCTTTAAGAAAGTCTATAGTAAATGTCTGTATTGTTTTTCAAGGTTTCTGGAACATTCTTTCTATGGAGAAAGAATTAATAGAGTGAAAGCACAAAGCTACAAAGTGTTAAGGACTAGGCTTCCAAGGAAAAAACACATAGAAGACAATCTTTAACAATGCTTGCTCCCATCACAGGCTATAGCAGTTTTCCTCATGGCAGCCAGTCATTTGGATGATTCATGTCAACTCATTGCTGAAATGTAACTAATCAGCCTTGCATTTTTCAACCTTTCCTGGAAAAGAGCTCTCTAAAGAGTGCAAATCAACTTTCCTGCTTTAGCAAGAAGAATATGCAGGAATATGTTGGACCCTGTCTTTGCTATAAGCTCCTCCATAAGTCTGAGAGATACAAAGTGAGGGACGGGAACCCTGACCAATTGTGCACCAGTGATCTGAGCCCCTTCTATGCAGTTCAAAAAACAGCTAAGACATAGGAGTCAACCTTGGTTACCAAAGCCACCGTGGGGAAGATGAACAGGCACTGAGTCCCAACCCACCCAGCCAAGGACTCTCATTGACTGCTCATGTCTTGTTCCAAAAGCTTATTCCTTATAGCAACATGTCCATCACTGTCAACAAAGGAAGGACACACCAGAAAGTCCCTCCACTGTCTCCAGGAGAGGAAACTGTCTCTGTGTATAGGAGTGAGGAACAGAAGTTCCCAATAGTAAATTGATGACAAATTATGACCTATCAAAGACCTATCCCTGAAATAATATGGAAATCATTTTAGAGATGGGCGTCAAACAAAAGCTCTGAAAGGATACAACAGTCAGAAGAATTGCAAAATTAACTGGAGATGAGAATGGTGGCCATGTCTCCAGAAAGAGAGTAAGGAAGCCTCTATATTCAACCCTTGGCAATAATCTTCACTTAAATTGACCTGTGCCCAACCTTCAAAGCCAACTCCAGCTTTCACCAAACAAACACACACATACACACACCTGCACGCATAAACATGAAAGGGTGTGTATATCACACTCACAGTGGCAATTCACTTAGAGGAAACAGAGAAAGATAATTCCCCCACCCAACTGTAGGTTATTAATGATCCAATTAATCCCTGAGAATCTCCAAATGGTTTTACTAGTGTATGTCTCCCAAGAATGCCAAGTGCATTGTTGAGGCTGTGCAGTGTAGCAGGGTTTCCCCAAAACTGAGGGGTTTCATCAGGCATGGGACTTCTGGTGTTAAACATGAACAGTGCTGGTTAGACCAGGACATTGGGCACCCTGGATGTGAGATGTAGGAGACTTCTGACAGGAGTCAGCACACTCAGTGTTCAAAGGCTCCTGCCAAGCTTGATTCAGAGCATGACCAGTAAAGACACTGAGCAGCCTTCCTCCAAGGACACCCATGTCTAGTCCCCAGACTCTGTCCCAGGCCTCTGGCTCCTAAAGCTTTGCTTCAGCCTTTTCTACTGGTCTCATCTGAAAAGTCAAGGAGGCCAGCATCATCCCTTGCACCACCAGGCTGAATTTTTGCTTTGCAGCAAGAACATTCTGAAGATGCTTTTTCCAAGGTCCTTCTTCCTTTAAGATGTGCCACAGCCCTCATTCCTATGGAGATACGGTGCAGCTCCAAGCAACCATTACCTTCACTCCTGAGTGAGACCACTCTTGTCTAGAAAAAGCCTAATCTCATTACCTCTTCTTACAAATCCTCCCACACTCACTATGCAGCCTACAGAGTGTGCTTACATTAATGGAACACATAGGGTCATAAACACCCAAAGTTAAATATCACCACTGCCCAGAGTTTAAATGGCATGGAAGTTCATTGACAGATCACAAAGGCCAACTACACAGATTGTGTTATCATGGCCAACTCTGTTCTAGATCTTATGGGATTTGATAGGTTTTGCCAAGTACGAAGTCCACCTTGTAGTTGGCAAAACTTCCCCTCAAGCTTGCTGCAATTTCACAGACTCTGGAATAGCCAAAGAGTGGAGCAACGTGTTTGTTAACTGAAAATAACCCTCGATTCCCTCACCCCTGATCACGTTACCCCTGATCACCTTACAAAAAAAAAAAAAAAAAAAAACAAAACAGGGCCACCACTCCAACAGGGCCTTTAAACTAGTTTCTTACTTTGGCTGAGAGTTTAGTATTTTTAGTTCCAGGCTTTTATTAGATTTTTCCCTTCCAAAATGTCTTTTGTTTTGTAAGAACCTTTATAAGCATTTAGCATGTTGGAAACATGTCACTTTTATCATTATTCATTCAAATTCAAGTGCAAAACCAGTCTTTCTTCTTTTCACCATCTTCAAGTCACTATTCTTACTAATTTTCTGTTTAGTTATTTTCCCCAGACCCAAAATATATGTATGAATATCATCTCTGAATCTCTACATGTCCACGAAGACAGTCCCTCGCCCTCAGAGGGGAATGACATCTTGGAATTCTTCCAACCTATTCCTTTGCTCTGAATGCTGTTCTACCATCTTTTGTCTTTCAGACATTCCAAAGGTATGTCAAATGCTGGGCTCTACTTTCTCTGAGGACTCTCTTTATTGAACAAAGGTTTTATCTTTACTCTTGAAACTCAGGACTTTTATCAAGAGCGTTGGGAATAAGACAGTGGTCAGCAAAACGTCAACAGAGCCAAATATCAACAGTACAACAATTGAAATTTCTTTTCAGAGCCAAATTTTTTAAACTTAAACTTCTTCTAATGCCATTTCTTCAAAATAGACTTGCCCAGGCCTTGGTATTTTGTGGAAGAGCCACACTCAAGGGGCCTAAGAGCCCCATATATCTCGTGAGCTGCAGTATGCTGACCACGGATCCAGAGAAATGGAAGTGTACAGTATGTAGACCCCAAGAAAGACAATACCTACTGAAAAGGCTACAGGTGGCTAACTGGGCTCAAATTTACAAGAGCCTAGCAGCTGTTTCTAAACACAGCCCTCTCGTGCAAACCTTGATTCAAGAGAAGCCTGCACTAAGCTGCCTGCCTCCCACACTAAACTGCCTGCTTGCAGTGTTTCTGGAATGCTGATTCAACCTATAAAACCAAGACTTTCCCTGTCCAGTTGAAGCTGTACAAGTATATGCCCCTCATCAACAACTTCACCTATTGGGAGGCTCCATTCTGACCAATCAGGACTGTGATTTTTGGACTATTCAAACTGCAAAGATTTGGATTCCTCATTTGCATGATAACAGACCAATCTGGGAACAGGACTTCTCTATCTACCCTGTTTCGCCGAAAATAAGACAGTGTCTTATATTAATTCTTTTCTCCCAAAGTTGTGCTAGGTCTTATTTTCAGGGGATGTCTTATCTTTCCATGCGCTAAGTCTTATTTTCGGAGGATGTCTTATATTTGCTCCTCTCTGGCTCAGAAAATGCATTTTCCCTTTCCACCAAACATTGAAAAAGCAGACTGTGTCTCTTCCCCAACCCCTTCCCAAGATTCTTTCCAGAACAGAGCAGGCCAACAGAGCAGAACAAAGCAGAGGGCGCAGGAGAACTGTCTACCTAGAGAGGGGCCTTACCCGAGATCCTCCTTGCAACCCTGCTGTTTCCTAACTGAGCTATAACACTATTCAGCTACTCCACAGCCGTGCTGTTCCACAGCCATGCTGTATCACAACTGAGCTGTTCTCACTGCCCCAATTAAAGGCCAGGTAGTCCTACACACTTTTGTTCTCTGCAAGGAGCCTGAACCCAGTGCTCTGGGCATATGGCATTTAACCCTTATTGCCTCTCATTGATGACAATCCACTGGAGCCCACAGAATAAAGTGTCCCAGGTGTACTTTCCTAAAGCCTCAGATCCAAAGCAAAAACTGAGACAATGACTCCAAAGACATATAAATTACAACTCAACCTAGGGAACTTGTAAGCTAGAAGTCAACACAATTGGGCATTTGAAACTAGGCATGCTCATTCCTGACCTATCTTTGGCAAGTTCATCTACCCAAAGTACTTGTGAGCTTATAGGCTTGTAAAGTTCCCACCCAAATTACACACCTTGGATACTGGTTTTTTGTTAGCGCAGTTGATTCCACCAATAAAAGCCATATTGGGCATGATGGGCCTGGGAGTAAAATTCACAAAATCCGTTCTGTAAAGCCAGAAAGACGCAGAGCTCATAAGGTCCTCAAGAGTCACGTCTTGCTGAAGGACTTCTGAAGCCAGTTGCCCATACGGTGAATAAACCACGTTGCACATAAAGTTCTCTGTCAAGGCAAGAAGCATGTTCTTCACCCGCTGCAGGAAGGTCATGTGATCTGAGTAAAATGACAGAGCCCTGGGCACATAGGATGGTGGGTTGGGGCACTGGCTACCCTGAGAGTCCAGACTGCATGGCAGTGAATTCAAGAAGAACACAACGGGCAGAGCCAGATACCTGGCCACAATAGCGCCACAAGGAAGGAAAGGGTCAGTCAACACAACATCATAGCTGTTTTGGGCCAGGGAGGTCATCAGCTCCTTGTTGTGCAGTAGATGGGAGCACCCCGACAATAACAGAGCCGAG